GCTTGGCCCCGCCCCGCCGGCGAGGGGCCCCCAGCCTCCCCTAACCTGGGACCCTCTTGGCTTCCAAAGACCTCCTCCGCAAGCAGCGCTGCCCATCCGGCCGGCGCATTCCCCGAGGCCTGCCCTTCTCAGAAGCCCCGCCCCTAAGATGCACCGCCCCACCCGGACGCCCCGCCCACGCGGTTCCTACAAGGGACCCATTGCTTGGTGGCACCAGCTTGAGGGCTGCAAAAGTGAACCCGGTGCCTCTCGTGGGTGAGGGGAACGCCTTTCGCTCGACAAAGACCCTGGCCCACATTCCAAGCCCGGACCCCGTAGACCCCCGCAGCTCCAGATCCCTAGGGCTGCCGGAGAATTCAAACTCTGGACGGCTCTCGGAGCGCGCTGCGCCACTTTATTGGTTCATAACGAGGTCACTGCTGCGCACGGACTTCGGTGGTGGGAGGTTCTCAGGTCAGATTTTCTTCCCCTGGGCTTCTGGCCCAGGACCCCGGGCCACCGAGGGGGAGCTGGGGTTGTGGGGTCAGAGATCCTGGCACCTCCTCCCGACAGCTTGTAATTCAGAATAAAGCCAGCGCGAATCTGTGAAGTGGGCATCAAGAGGACATCAGAGGTCTAATGTGTCCCACCCCTGCGATGCCTACTTAGGTGCATGTTTTGGAACCACAAATATGAACTTTCTATAGAAGCTCTTCTCTTTTTGGACTGCCCTGGCCTGCAGGGCACTAAACCCGTCCTGATCCAAACGCGTGAAGGACCCACGGCCCTTCAAAAGCCCAGCTCCACAGTCACACCTAGTGGACTCGCTGGAGTTGGGGCGAGGGTGGGGGTCCCGGCTGTCGCCGTCCAGGTTGGCCTCTCGGGTCTGTGCTTCCTGCGGTGTGGGGTGGAGCAGAGGCCAGGACAAATCCCTCTGCAGTCCACCAGGTGGCGGTGTTGCACTGCAGACCCAAAAGTCCTTCCTCCAAATTCCAGGAGGGCCTCGCGGGGACAGGGGCTCAACAAGTCCCAGGTGGCTTAGGCCCAGCTCCTATTGCCCTGACCTATTCACTCTCTTCAGTCAAGCTCATGGTGACTAGCAGCCCCAGGTGCCAACCCTGGGGCAGGGGTTGCCACCTGGGCTAACAGGGCCTTTCCTCCACTGGTGGGCTGTAGAGCCCACCCCACTGCTTTATCCTGGTGTTACTCCAGGAGCATCTCACTCCTCACTCGCTGGTGGGACTGCAGTATTTGTGTGAAGACAGAGAGCAAGTCCAACCCCCCAAAAACGGCGCACTACCAGAACTCAGGTTCCAGAGGAAGACATTAAGGGGCAGCTGGCCAGCCCTGCTGTGAGCTTGTAGAACGGTTTTCCATGAAACCAGCCTTGGAATGCCAGGTGCAAATCATAAGGAAGTTTTTATTGGGTCCTGTACAGAAGAGAAATGCTCAGTTGTCAAAAAACTACAAAGGGATCCCTGGCTCTGGATGTGCTATGAAGATAACTCCCTCCCCAGTGAGGCCAGGGTCAAGTTCCTTAGAAACGCAGCGAACAGGCCTGGAGGCCGGACAAAGTTTGGGAGAGAACTCCAGGCCCAGGGTCCCCCCCTTTATTTTTGTAAAAACCGCAGGACTGGAGTGATTTAGGGGACTCTGTCCCCCTGTATTGCCGTTGGATATGAAACATACAGAGTAAAACCCCAAGGTGACAAATGAGTGAAAACCTAAGGTGACAAGTGGACAGACGCCCCCAGATGGAGGAGACAATGGCTAGCTGGTGACCTCTGCCCCTACGTAACTTGTCAGTCCTTGAAGGCACAGCAGCATTGGCCAGAGATGGCCCCTCCCGCGGCCAGGGTTGGATTGCACTTCCCTGCCTTGCTCATCTGTGGCCACAGCTCATACCCCCAGTTACCCCACAGCCAGGGACTGGAGGGGTCTCTGAAGCAGAGACAGGCTTAGGCAGCCTCCCACCCCACGCCAGCAGCTTGTTCTGGGAGTGGGACCCTATCTGAAGGGTGATGAGATAGGCTTGGCCACCTGACGGCCAGAAGGAACTGGGCACAGGCAGGCTGTATGCTGACCTTGGAAACTACCCCAGGTTTTCATATTGTGGGGCCACTGCATAGGGGTAGGGTCTGGAGGAGACAGCTTTCTCATCTGCCCTATTTCACCAGCTCAAGGTTATAGCTGTTCCTGGTTTTCCTTAGCCTCGGAAGACCCAGGGTCCATGGCAATGCCCAGGCCTGTAAGGGGTCTGCCCAGGAGGGAAGGCAAAGAAATACACTGCTTCAGGGGTTGGACGCCTGCCCAGAGCCAGGCCTTGAGCTGAGAACCTGGAAGCCCCTGCCAGGATCCCTTCCTGGCCAGGCCTGCACAGGTGGGGAGTGAGGCTGGGGAGGATGTGGGGACACGAAAGCCCAGGCCCTGCTGCCCTCGTGCTCTCTGCCTGCACCGCACACATGGTGGGAGCCATGGGGGGAGCTGATGTGGTAGGAACTGGCAACGATTGCAGAGTAACGAGGGTGGGGACACTAACGGTGGTCAAGGTGGCTGAGGTGCCAGTGGTGGTGGTGCAGAGTGTTGTGCTTAGCTGGGGTGGAGTGTGGGTTTCCAAGGGGGTAGGGGGCACGGAGAGGAGGAGGCCTCAGGCCTAGGGGGCCACACCAGGCCACATGCTGAATACAGACCTCCACAAAGGCCACAGAGAGCCCTAGACGACCTCTCACACCTGGGCCACTCAGTGGCCAGGGCCTACGACCAAGAGACTTCAAACAGCCCTGAGAGTTAACGTGGTCACCTGCTCATCAGATGGGAAAACTGAGGCAGGACAGGTCGGAAGCAGAGAGACCTGATCAGAGCTTGTTTGGGCTCTGAAGACCCCTGTGCTTAGAGACCCACTGTACCCCCGCCCCCCCCCCTCCCCGATGTGGCATTTATGGTGCAGTGTGGGTGGAAAGCCCCTGGGGAGTCCAGTGGCTCCAGCTCAGCCTCTCCAAGGCGGGGCTTTGTTCGGTCCCGCAGTGGCCCTGTCTCAGGTTCCCTGCTTCCGATGTCCTGTTGCCCAGGGTTGGTGATGGTGCACCTGGACGTGCACATGTCACTCACTTCCCAAGCCCAAACTTGGGATGTCACTCAGTTCCCCAGGCCCGACCTCACTCAGCCAGGAACATGCGGTGCCAGTGCAGTCGTCCGGTGCAGCCGTCGCCCTTGGGACAAGGCCAGCTGAGAGGAGCTGGAAGACAAACGCCGAGGCCAACGCTCCCTCACCCCTGGGAGGGGCGGAGGCGGGCGTCCTTGGTGCTGTGGCCCTGGAGGGCGGCCTGGCCTGACTGGCGTCCGTGGGGAG